AAAACTTTCGCCCCAGGCGGGACTAGAACCCGCACCTCTCGCTTTCCGGGCAAGTGCGCTACCAGTTACGCTACCGGGGCACCATTTCATCCCAACTCAGCTTCTTCATGAGGCAGGTATGTTAGCAGGATGACTTGTCACCCTCTAATGTGTAACCCTTGCGCATTTAGAAGGCCAGTATAGGATGCACCTTCGGTGAGTCCTTTTAGAGACACTCCACGCATTCACCTATTATTTGAAACGTGCAATGACCAGGGTGAAAATCGTGTCGAGTACGTGGTCGCAGAGGTACGACCCCCCCCCCGAAATCGAGATCCTGGCACGACCCCCTCTAACAGAGCAAATTAATTCAATTAAAAATCCTGCAAAACAAAAACAAAACAAATCAAAAAAAAAAAAATTCTGCAAAATAATGCTAAGGACGCTTCATCTTGTCATCTATGCACGTCTTCCATCGCTGCATACTTTTGTGTACATACTGAAATATCGACTCGAGGAAAGAGGCATTAACTTTGTGTGACCTCAAGGCGAGGTTCGTTCAGAAACGCACAGAAATCCTGAAGACACGGGGTTTGCGATTCAATCTTGATTCTTGCTTGAGTATATCAAAACAGCCGAGTGTATCAAAGGCCGATTCAACGGCAGCTGCGGCGCGATTGTCACTGGGTCAGATTTGCCGAAATTTCAAAAAAAAACGTCCGAATCTACACCCTCGATGAAAAGGTTGCATTCCTCCATTTCACAACCTTTGAAGCAGCTTGAGGTAGAGTTAGATAGAGCTGGATTTCGCGTTTCCAACAAGCATCGAAATTGCTCTGGAAGCCTTCCTTGCAGAAAGATAGGGTCTCTCAAATTTCGTCGAGTAAATGTCGAGGAGGCCGAAATTTTCACGCGAGTTTTTGCCACTTCAAGAGCAATATATCTCTTATATTGTAAGATCCTGAAAAAGGGAAGATAGTTTTGGAAAGCGGAAGGTTTGCGCTTCCTGATGGTCTGTTTAGTTTTCTTCTACAGCTTTTTGGTTGAAGAGATAATTGCGTCGAGGATCTATCGAGGTCGGATCCGGCCACCTGGAAATCCGCTCCCCTCATTCACCATTGCAAGTGTGACTCGTTGGCAACACTCGGAATGTGTCTAGAACAATATCTTTGAACGCAAACAATAAGAATAGGAGCAATCGTCATCATCCGATTTGGTATTGGTATAAGCCATGCATCCCTCCTCCACTCACAGTTGCAGAATCGATTGAAAGGTGTTATATGATGGGGACCTTCGAACGAAACTGTATTGTAGTAGACATAGTGTGTTGTGCTATTCCTGTAACCTAAAAAACAACTTCATTTGCCCAGCGCTTTTTCTTCACGGTTGTCGTTTTTCCGACAGGGTCCCTAACAACAGCGTCATTCTCAGCGAGGTATTAAGGGAGAAGGAGCGAGCGATAGGCAGAGGAGGTGCCTTTGCAGCGCGTGCGCACATGTGGCAGTCTTCTTTGCGGGGATGCACTTTCATTCTTTGTACTGCCTTCAAATACGCCCTTCTCATGAAGGTGGAGGAATGGAGCGACTGAACCTGCAAAGAAAATTTAATATCATGTTTTTTTCGGATGTTTTCATTTTCTGCTGCGCTATACCCTATTACCTATCTGCACCATGATACCACTTCTGTTACTGACCCCAAGAGTACGACCCCCCATGGACCAGCCCAACAGGTACGACCCCCCTGTCGAGGATTTCCTCGACCGATATTCACCCTGCTTCAGACTATGTATTTAATTATTGCTTACAAGGGAAGCATAGGAAAGGTCAGAACTTAGAGAAAACCTAATGAAGGCTTCGTGGAATTTTTAGAAACGTTTTATGCGGTTAGCTGTTCTCAGTGTGCGGATGCTCACCCGCTGTCTTGATGACTCCTTCTAAGGAACGATACGCATCAGAATATGTTCGAACTGTGCAAAGTTGACACAAAGCACGATACCCATTTACTCACGTGAGCAAGGCGTCAATTCGAATATTTCACAGTCGCACGCTTTCCAAATTTCTAAACCCGCAAAAAGTGATGAAAGCCCGCGGCTCGGGCAGGGGAGATCTGTATTATGGATCAAGAAAGGGAAACTAAGTGAAGAGATTCGATCAAAGACTACTCTGCTCATATTGTTTACAGCTTCTTACTATGCAAATTGGTGTTTTCATTTTTCAAACAAGTTCTGTGGTAGCAATTAAGTGAGTTTGTATGGAGGCTACCACTACGCCAATTCCTCTTAGTTTCGTCATTTAGCTAATCGTTTTACCAATAGTTTAATGAGTGATAAATAACCCAATGAAGTTCTCATTTTCATGGTAATAAAAAAATCGAAGAGGGATAGGAATTAGTTTCGGCAAAGATATGAGCGGAATTCACAATATGGGTAAGTATTACCTTTGTACTTACTTTATTTTTTGATATCCAAGTTTACAGAAAATCTTTGAACCAAGTGTCGTGGGTTGATAGCTGAATGGTATACAAACCGTTCCCCATTTTCTATGACACACTTTCAGCGATTAAAATCAACTTTCGATCGACGGAAGTGATACGACCGGTGCTACAGTACCTGTACGCGTCTCAAGCGGATCCATTTGCACCTGTTCTACAGTATCCGGTCATACTTCATGCTAATGTTTTTCGATCAGCGAGAAGCGCAGAGGTGAGTCCGTGGTGTCAAATTCCAAAATCAAAAAATGATATCGATTCAGCACAACTGGAGAATCTTATGTGTTCAGAATGTCGTTGATCCGTCGTCCTTCGTCGATCGAGCCCGTCGCCTCTTCCCAGATGCGACACTTTCGTTGGGTTGGACGAAACAATCCAACTATAAATCCTGTGATCGAAGTATTAAACGGTTGGAATAAATCTCTAATATAGTCGGAATGTGATCTAGCGCTTACTTTTTTTAAACTCGTCTTCAGGTACATGCGGTGTTCTTCTATCGCCGCGGTTCATAGATTTCCGCAATATGATTTTAGCACCCCTGCTTCCCATATAGTTTTCGAATGAGTAGATGATGCTTACGGTTTTGGCCGGATGTGTGCTTGATCCGCACATTTAAGATCTACCCAGAGCTTGTCAACCCTCTCTGTCTCATAGTGTTTTCAGGTTTTACAGGAATTGTTCCAAGTGGACTTCAGAGGAATGATCAACACTATCACAAGTATGCTGAGTTGTGTGTTGAACTTTCGCCTCAGACCGGATCTCTTGCCTTCCGGCGCAGTTGTGCCACCAATTACCTTGAGCAAGAGATCCGGGTACGAATCCCGGCTGGGGCGAAAGTTTTGCCCACAACTCAGCATTCTTGTGATAACTTTCGCAACGCGAACTGCGGCGTAAAACAGCAGTTATGCAATGAAAAAAATCAACGCTATGTCCTTGATAGTTGTATTTTTTACGTTGTAGGCTAACATGGAGACAACTATTTCAAATTCTCGAGTATATCGCCCGTCTCGACCAGCCCGTTATGCTATCTGTTCGGCTATCTGTGGTGAGTACATGAAGCAGACCCAGGAGGAACTGGGTCGAGAGAGATCAACGACGCCTGAATTACTCTTTCTAGGCTTCCAACTCCAAGGATCAACTGTTGTGGCTACTTGGGATGGACAAAGCTGTGTCTCTCCTTATCTGGAGTGACGAAGACGACACGGTGAGACTTTCGAAATTCCCTGCGAACTTTCTTGCCACTACCCTTCCACATGTTTTTGTCTTCACTTGTCTTCAGTACGATACTGCAGAGATTCCACGTTGACCAGTCCTTTCTTGGGCTTACCCGCATCCTACCTCACTTGATCGCAGCGACATTTTGAGTGCAATTTGGCCTATGTGGTACTTGTGGGGTTCACTCGAGGAACAAGCAGTGTTGGGAAGGAGGCTTGTGTGGTAGGCTTTACCCTCGTACACCAGCCTGGTACCAGTCATTCAACGCCGAAGGGAAGACATGATCTGCGCACGATCCAGGGATTTGATCTCTGGACAGTGCGTGCTTAGACAGCGCCATTTTCGATCGCTCTTATGAGCCCTATTAGATCTGTGGTACTTCACCCCTATTTCTAGTCATTTGGTAGCTCCTTCATCCAAATCCATTACTCTTTTCAGGACATTGATTGGGCGTCTGTCGTGGAAATTCGTCGATTGGCCACGAAAAATCGAGTACTGTACGATTTGTTGCCACGTCACCGAGAAATCATTCAGCGGATACCCATCCAGCCACTGATAGTGAAGGTAAGGTTACCCTGTTCATGGCACCATTTGCTTCGTTGGGAAAGATATAAGAGCGAAATACGGGCGGAATCGTGCTAACTCGTGATTAAAAAAGGTCCAAAAATGCATTCATGCAAGTCTTCGAGTGGGATTTTGAGTGAACAAAAGGAAGAGGTTATATTGAAGGGTTCGGCTTTGAAATTTTGAAGTTTTTGCTTCAAAAAAGGTGATCCAGTTGACAAGAGCTCAGCCATTTCACCCTCTCGAAATTGATTTATCAGGCAACATTTTTCTAATCTTTAAGAAACTTTAGTCAATAGTTGTACAAGGATGCTGAGTTATGGGCAAAACCATTCGCCTCAGGCGGGAATCGAAACCGCACCTCTCGCTCACCGAGTGATTGTGTTACCAGTTGCACTAGCAGGGCACCATTTCACCTTACCATTAGCCCTCATTTGAGGTATATTTACCAATATTCACCAAAATAGCTTATAAGCGTCCGCACATGGAAGTAACCCGGTGAGCTCGTTGAACAAGCATCGGCTGAGGTTGAAAGCTTTACAGATATCAATTTTGACTTGTTTTCGTTATTACACCATCGCAAAGTTGAGTCAAAGTGAAGTGTGCCCCAGTGGTGTAATCGGTAGGACAAGTGCCCGGAAAGCAAGAGAGGCGTGTTCAATCCTCACTTGGGTAGAGGAGTTTTGTCTATAACCCATCATTCATGAGACACTTTCGCAACGCGGGTTGCGGCCAAAAACTGCAGTCATCCATCAAAAGCTGTCGTTCGTTGTCGCTTGTTAACCCTGAATCTATTTTAGCCACCCGATATGCATTTGTATGACCACATGGACACTGTAAAAATCGCAATAATCGAATTGAACACATTGCGGACCACCCGTTGTGCTAGCACCTACGTACCTTTTTGTGTGGTTTTTT